ATTATATTAACACTGAATAAAATTTACTTCCATAATCACTCCTAGTTATAATAATATAGATATTATCTTTTATTATTTTTTTTGATTTGTAATATTCTTATTGTTGTTATTATATCTAAATGAATTTCTATTTTTTATTGATAACTTATGAATAATTCATACAATACTTATCACATTGGAATAATTTCCAAAAAATCTCTTCTTCAAATTTCTTATCTTTTCTGGTAGTATATTCTATTTATTCAGTTTATTTAAATGATTGTTTTATATACTTTTATTCTTTATATTAGTACCACTATCATTATCTATTTCTTTTGTTTCTTAATTTGAATATATATTATTTTATCTTTCAAATTTTTATCATACTTTGTTAGTAAATTCTTATATAAAAATTGTAATTAAACAATTCCTTGGTGTTACATAATGAATTGGATATTTTGAATTTTATTTTCTATTTCTTTTTGTTATTTCTTTTTTATTGGTTCAATTATTTCTTCATTTACATAAATATTTTGATTTATAACATTTCATCCTTTTACATACTAATAATAATATATAGATAGCATATTACTTGTATAACATTTGAAATTTTATATTTTTCATTTAGATTACATCCGCTTTAAGTTATTACATATGAATAAAACATTAAAATGAAGATTATATCTATTAGTTAACTAATCACTATAACTTACTATTACAAGATAGATAATGATTATACCTTTTATTCTCAAGTGTTATTTCACTGTTTCTTATTTAGTCATTATGCTCAGTGGTTAATAATTATTTTGTGAGTACTATAAATGGAATTAAAGCATCTAACTAAAAATTAGTCAAATTATAGTTATAACTCAATCAATAAATGTTTATTATAATATTTGTTCATTAAATGATTTTTCTAAGTGTCTTTAAGTGTGGTGTTTATAATTTCTGATATCTGAAACAGTTTTTCCATTTGTCAAGTGTATATTTTTCCATTTTATAAATATATTAGCTATTTTACAAACAAATAACATATATAAATTAATAGTTTTATGTAAATTAATTTAAATAACATAAAATGATTTTATCAATTACGAGAAAATAAATAAAATGAAAAACAACAAATATTATTATAGGTGATTGGTATTATTGTGTTATATTTAAAACTTTCATTGCTATGTTTACTTTATGATGTTAAATACTATTATCAGGTTCGTTTTTGTTTACAATAATACAAAGACTTGTTTATTTTTAGAGATTTGTTTTTAAAGGAAGAAAAATTATTTGTAAGTGTTTAATGAGAGAAATCACTCAATCATTAAAAAAACCAAAAACTCATCTCTAAAAATCACAGTAAAGTAATTGTGACAAAAGGACATAACAACTAGTTACAGAAAAATCAATAAAATTATACTCTTTCAACTTTATTTATGAAGAAAATAAAAATATAAACACCTTATTTCATATTAGACTATCACATATTGTAATTAGTAAAATATAATTTTAATTGTTAGGTGCTAGTTGCGGTATTCCTAGGTAACATTAAGTACTACCATTATTTCTCGTTAACTAATAACACATAAAATAAAAGGCAAATTGGTTGTTTTAACTCTAACCTTGAAATAAAAATATCAGAT